CCCCCCCCCACCACCACTTGTACTCTTGTTCAAAAAAATATAAAATTTGTATAGTAAGTGCCTGCGAGAGGTGAGAGCCCTTGTCAGGCGAAAGCAGGTCTGTTTTCAGATGCCACTTACTTGATGCATTTAATCCACTCGTCCTTCTCCTCAGGCGTCGGGGCTGAGATGCGGTAGACCGTGTGGTTCCCTTCCACCACCCGCCCATCGGCCTCGGTCTTACAGGCCTTGATTACTTGGTCTTTGTTGTCGGGGATGTAGAGCTCGAAGCAGTTCTGAGAATCAGAAAAGAGAGGGACAGAGCGACAAAGATCTGAGAGAGCTGCCCACCGACACAGAAACAACGTTACTTTACTCCTCAAAAGACCGTCCTGACCTCCGTAAAACATAGGCAATGCGGATTTCCCTACGGGGAAGAGGAGCCTAGAGGTGGAAACCTGCAGAACGTAGGCTGCACGTCAACAAGGCTGATAGCGAAGGTACCAGCCAGATACACACACGTCTGTCCTGCTCCCAACAAACCGAAAGCAGGGAGAGCCGGACGTCACAGGGATGCGGTTTAGCCCCTGCCCCCGCCCCCAGCCGCGTCGCCGGACTCCCAAGGAGAGGGATCTGTAAGGTACCCGAAGGGCCTCCCACGAGTGGCCCCATCATGAGCGCCTGCCACTGCCTTTTAAGCAGGGACAATTCCATCCCTCGTGTGACACTCAACAGGTGACACGAAGCCACACGGACAGAACGAAGAGGTCACTTACTGCCTCATCTTTGGTTTGAACGCGGAAGATAGTTTTAAAGGCAGGCCACGTTAGAACGACGCTACTTTTCAGTTCTAAGTGGATCTTTGCAACTTCAGTCCTTGTCAAAGACCCGCTACACCCGTCCCTTTTGTCCCCCGGCCCCCTGAATACTCACTGGTTTTTTGGAGTCTTCCACCTCCCGGATACTCAGATTCTCTAACGGGATGATTCCCCGGGGCTCCTTATCCTGCAGGACAGAGACATGAAGTCCTTACTTCTGGCGTCACAAGCACGAGCACGCATCCTACCGCATTCCTCACCCACAACTCCCCGGCTCCTCCCCCGTGGCCTCGAGCTCACAGATCTGCTCTAGGGCCCACAGCCTACGTTCTAGAATCAGAAAAGGGTCAGGAATGTACGGGTATGGGGCCCCCTGTAACCAGAGGCCTCTGCAAGGAGAACGCCCGGGGGAGGCTCCAGAAAGACTGAATGTGGCAAGAGCCCACGGGAGGCCCACAAGCGGGGAGCACGCTGGCCGCTCCCACTCAGGAGACCACCCCGCTTCTCTGCCTG